AGATATCCAAGGGCGTGGTACGTGGAATCAGAAAAATATACCCCGTGGACTAAATAAAGGGGTCGTGTCGAAATTCAAAAAAATACCACCTGAAAAAAGACGGTCGAGACTTTATGAATGTAACAATAAAGATGAGGACACACAGTACAAATAATGTAAAAAGTTTGCACTATTTACATAATTCGGACTATTGTCCTCATCTTTATTGCCATATTCACAACGTTTCAACCATTGTACGCTCTGGTCTTCTTCAGGTGATATACGCTGGAATTTCGAAATTCCAACCTATATCACCTGAAGAAGGCCGGATCGTACAATCGCTAATGATGCTGGAAGAATGGTCAGTTTCCTGTATCGCTCCAGTAAGTACCTGACTCCTCCAGATATCCTCTAAGCGGGTGGCGCAATAGATAACTGCACAGAAATGGAAATTGGTAGGCCCAGTTCCATTAGGGTTCGTTATATACACTTACGCGCAAATATTCTTGGGAAAGGGATAAATGTCCCTCTTCTCCCACCCCCACAGATATGGGTTAATTAGCAGGACTTGTATCAATAACACTATTTACATTATTCGGACTATTATCCTCATCTTTGTTGCCATACAACGTTTCGACCGCTGCACGCTCTGGCCTTCTTCAGGTGGTTGGAATGTCGAACTGAGTCCTTTATTTCGCTCACTGGGGTAGACTGTTCTAGTTCCACGTGCCATGTCTAATGGATGTCAGTTATCAGTTAATTCCCCCCTCCAAGTTCTCCACCGCCTTAACCAGGTATTGAACTCACACTCTTTGGGTCCTGTCACTGGATCTAATTAACGCCTTTATCGACCGTGCCATGTGTGAATTTCTGGGTATTATAAACCTAATTTCTTCAACAATCATTCTTTACCAGTGCTCATATTGCAATTTTTGCTGTTATCAAATCATGTTTTTACCAGAGGTCATATTGCAATTTTCGTTGTTATTATCAGTAAATCATTATTATCTCAACGTTCTTACAAATTATTATATTACGGTATACAATAATTCATGGGGGGATCAGTTTATTCCTTAATAATAATGTAAAACCGATCCCCCAATTTATGTCCAAAATTGATGTCACATTTTAAATCCTTACTATCATTAGGAAGTTTTCCCATGTGAGTCTTTAAGTATATTTTCCAATTATTATATTAATATATATATATATATATACAGTAATTCTTGGGGGGATCAGTTTATTACTTAAGAACACTAAACAATCGATCACCCACTTTATGTTCAAAATTGATCTCATATTTAAGTCTTTAGTATTATTAGAAATATTTCACATGTCTTTAAATATATCTTCGAATTATTATATATACATTGTTTCTTGGGAATGATCAGTTTATTACTTAATAACAATGAAAAACCGAACCCCCATTTTATACTGAGTGGAATATTTTAATAATATTTAAATAGGAGTATATAGCTTCATCTATCGTCCGGTTTATATTCCTCCTTGATATTTTGAACAGCCCTTGTTTCCTCTTTAGGATCGAGTTTCCGGTTATTTCTAATGTCTTTTCCTTCTCTTTTATTTCCAGTAGGCCCTTGCGTCTTAGTGCCATTATCGCCTTGCTTGGGGTGAATTGATTAAAAAAAAAACGAACTGTATAGTCATTTCTACGAATACTTTCATGACCACTGTTTTGACGAGCTTTTTTCCCCGGTGCCTCGACTACGTGAATTTAAGTGTGGAACTAGATTAACATCGAGGTCCCGCCCTTTTACTGTTGAAATAGTTAAATGCAACCACTACTTCTTCTCCAACAGTTTCTTTTCTCACACTCCCCGCCTATGGAACTCACTTCCGTTTACTTGCTTCCCTGATGACTACAGTCTTCAAAAACTTAAATCCAACGTCATTCGCCAGCTTCTATCTTCTTGAATCCCGTTCAACTTTTTACCTTTTTTTATCAATTCACCCCCAGAAAAGCGATAATGACACGAAAACGCAAGGAGCTACTGAGAGTGAAAGAGAATTAGAGGAATTTAGAAGGAATCGGAAACCCAATCCTGGGCAGGAAACAAGAGATAAACCTCTACTCCTGTTCAAAAGATCAGGGAAGGGTATAAACCGTACAATAGGCAAAATTTTCCTTAATCCTCCCTGTCAGCTAGTTATGTGCTATGCGTGATACACGCATAAGCGATCATGTAGCTTTCGATACATGACTGACGAGGCAGATTTTTTTTTTCCCGCGGCAGCTTGCCATTTCTTTCTGCGGTAGACCAGTTGCCATCCAAGGCTAGAGAACTCGGTCTGTCCTGCTATTTACCCATAGCTGAGGGGGAGAAGAAGAGGATACATACCTTTCCCAAGGGTATTTCCCAAGGTAATGGATTCGACTGGAATTCGAATCCTTCCTATACACAGTTTTTTTTTTCTCTCACTTTCACCCCCCTGTAACCCCCTGCGTACTCCTGGCATTCCCGCCTTGCTTGGGGTGAAATGATTAAAAAAGAAAGGAGGCTATGCTATAATTAAAAGGCTTTCACGTGTGTGTGTCGGGAAATGAAGAAAAACGGAGAGAAAGATATAAACTAATAAAAGAAAATACATTAAGACATAGGACAAAAGAAAGAAAAATCTTTAGCATGAAAACAAAAGAAAATATAATGGAAGAAAGAAATAAAGAATTTTGCATTCGGACGGATAAGGCGATGGAACCGACTGCCAATAAGAGTTTAATCTATTGTTGTATGAGGTCAAAATCTTTCTATTTTATTTTCTCAGGATCAAAAGTTTAAGTCAAACGGTAATAGTAATAATGGGATGAAAATTAATAATGTTAAAGACAAAAAAATAAACAAAAAAATGAAACACTAATCAACTAACAAAAACAGTTTATTTGATTAAAAAGAAATCGAGATTTATGGGAAATGTGGAATGCAATTAAAAAAAAAAAGATAATTATTTCTTGGCTAGTTTACCCATTCCATAAAAAAAAAACAAATATCAGCATATATGAAACAAATATTTTATTAATTCCTTACTATTATTGGGTTTTCACGTGGGAGGCTTTAAATCTAACTTTGGTTGATTCATTTTCTACGGCTTATCAACCGTTTTTCAGGTTATTTAAAGCCAGAAAATATTTTTAGAGTCTAAGAATTTTTTTGTTTTTTGTTTTTAGTTAATAATGGCTTAGTGATACAAGTCTTACTAAATTAACCCATGGCTGCGGGGGAGAGAAATGTTGCGTTCACACATAATCAGAATTTGATAGGCAAACAAGAAATTATAATGTGGATAAAAAGTGGGGGATCATTTCTATATTACAATATATATATATATAGATAGATATATATTATATAAACTGCTGTAAATATCAAAGTGTAGATCAGTAGATATATATATATATATATATATATATATATATATATATATATATATATATATATATATATAGAAAAGCCTAGAAAAATAATGTTAAACAGTAAAATAGTATATATATATATATATATATATATATATATATATATATATATATATATTTATTTATGATCCTCACTTTGTGGCAACAGCAGTTTCTATACATTTATATTCCAGAAAATAAATCTAAAAGGCATGCCTGTGTAGCTAATCAATATTTCATTGAGTGATTGATTCGTTCTCTGCGGTTTAACAACCCTTTGCAGGTTATTTAAAGCCAGAAAATATTTTTAGAGTCTAAAAATTCTTTTTTTTTTTTTAGATAATAATGGTTTAGTGATACAAGACTTACCAATTAACCCATGGTTTGAGAGGAGAACAGTTGGGTTCACACATAATCAGAATTTGATACGCAAACCAGAAATTATAATGTGGATAAAAAGTCTTAATATCATTTCTATATTACACTATATATATATATATATATATATATATATATATATATAGTGATTCGTTTTCTACTGTTTATCAACCCTTTTCAGCTTATTTAAAGCCAGAAAATATTTTTAGATTGTGAGAATTTTTTTTTTTTGGGCTTTTTATTTTTAGTTTTTTTAGGTAATAATGTGAATATAAAGTTTTTCTCAGTTTTATGTTTTAATCAGTATATAAACCGATCCCTCACTTTGTGGCCGCTGTAGTTTCTATAGATTTATATTCCCGAGAATGTAAATAAATCTAAAAAGCATGCTTGTGGAGGTATTCAGTATTTCATTGATTGATTCGTTTATCTTCGTCTTATCAAACCTTTGAGGTTATTTAAAGCCAGAAAAGAAAGAAAGAAAGAAAGAAAGAAAGGGTTGAGAGAAAGAAAGAAAAAAATGCATAAAATAGAGGAGGCGATAATGCACTCGGATCTTTATCTTCTGCTTCATTAAAATGGAATATTATATGTATTGTAAATCTTGTCATTTGTACCCGCTTGAATAGAAATAATTATAGGCCAGAATGCAATTAGTTGTAATCAGTGGGTACATAGCTTATTTTGAAGTTGTTCATTAATTATTATAATAATTAATGAATAAATGCAAAATACCCTAAGTAATCAATAATAAACAACACTATACAATTAACGGCATTCTGACCGACAACAATTTCTACTCAATAGCCTTTAGAATAATTTAAAATATAACTTTTGCCATCTACCCAATAACTGTTACGATATTACAATAAGCTGGAAATCCATGACCTTTTTCTACCCATTGTTGCCCCATTAACCAGCATATATAAATAGTCAAAATCAAACACACCACATATGGCCTAAAGATTGCGTTTCAAACATGAAACAGACTGTCGTTAATCTGTGTTAACACACACACACATACACACATATATATTTACAGCCAATAAACAAAAATTATGGATATGGATATACATGTTCGAGTAGATTCTTCGTTTTATTTATATCTGAGAATTACGTCTACTGGCCTGTGCATTCGAGAGCCGCAATAAAAATGTGTTAATCTTTGATATATATATATATATATATATATATATATATATATATATGTGTGTGTGTGTGTGTGTGTGTGTAATACAGAATATTGAGAGAGAGAGAGAAAGAAATAATATAAATAAATACAAAACATTAGATAGATAGATAGATAGATAGAAATACAAAACGATAGATAGATAGATAGATAGATAGATAGATAGATAGATAGATATAGATAGATGATTCCTTTTGGCGATAGATAGACAGATAGATAGATAGAAATGTTAAAACGATAGATAGATAGATAGATAGATAGATAGATAGATAAATATGAGATAGATAGATAGATAGATAGATAGATAGAAATAGATAAATAGATAGATAAAAAGAATAATAGATAGGATATATAAATAATATATAGATAGATAGAAATTGAAAACAATAGATAGATAGGTATATAGATAAATATAGATAGATATAAATACAAAACGATAGATAGATAGATAGGTATATAGATAGATATTGATAGATAGATAGATATCAATACAAAACGATAGATAGATAGATAGATAGATAGATAGATAGATAGATAGATATAAATACAAAACGATAGATAGATAGGTATATAAATAGATATAGATAGATATAAATACAAAACGATAGATAGATAGGTATATAAACAGATATAGATAGATATCAATACATAACGATAGATAGATAAGTATATAAATAGATATAAATACCAAACGATAGATAGATAGGTATATAGATAGATATAAATACAAAACGATAAATAGATAGGTATATAGATAGATATAAATACAAAACGATAGATAGATAGGTATATAGATAGATATAGATAGATATAAATACAAAACGATAGGTAGATATGTATATAGATAGATAGAAAGAGATAAATACAAAAACATAGATAGATAGATAGAAGTTTAAACACTATATTAAATAAAGAATGAGTGTAGATACCCGATGCCGAATTCGGGTGGATTAAGTCTTAGTCTTTCGAAGAAGGTTGAAAAGAAAACCGAAAAAAATCGGAGTTAGAATATTAGATAGAAATGACCATTCTCTCACTACTGGACTTTCGCGAATCTGATTCCTCGCATGGTTAGCATTAGTAAATAATTCTATCTTATAATCTAATCCATGTATTTCTTAAATCATGGATAATGCCAAAATAATTCGGAATAATACAGCCATTAATCCGGTGTCAGGTGTGTTAACAAATATTGTCTTTTCTGTTTGCAATCCCTCAATCTTTCATTGCTTTCAATTCATACGTTCTTTTGGTTTGGGAAGACAGCTATGACCAATTTCTTGTCTTAGAATCTGCTCTGATATGCTGCTTTTATGCTGCTTCATTCGAATTCCAGTCGAATCCATTATGTGCTAATACCCTTTGGAATGGTATTAATCCTCTTCTTCTCCCTCCAGCTATGGGTAAATAGCAGGACAGACTGGATTCTATAGCCTTGGATGGCAACTGAAGGACAACTTTGAATTCAAAACCTGCAAAAGTTTACACTAGGTCACTGTATTCGGCACTTCATCAAATCATATGTCTGGGCTGTCGCTCATACGTCGAATACGACAGGAAAGTCCATATATATATATATATATTATATATATATATATATATATATATATATATAATATAAAGAACAAAGATATATAATCCGGTGTTCTTATAGAGATTTTTATTTTACAAAATAGTGCTTCAATGTAAATTTACATAGCATTAATATTATAAAATTAATTGATTTAAAATATGTTTTTTCGCTACACATTCTAACCATGTTTCAAAAATGGAAGCTAAAAAACCCCGAATTTATAAGTTGTGATTAAATTAAAGACATTAGTTTCTATTTCATCCTCAAGCGAATTTTGGAAATAACTTTTAAAATTCAGGCCGGTAAATGTTATTTAATACTGTTTATCATAAACAGAGCATTTTCTTAAATACTTGTATCTATAAAATAACAACGTTAAACATAAAAAATGTCTTTAATAAATAAATTGTCGGACCTTGTCCATTTCTTAATATATGACGTCATTTGTTTACATTCGATACGCCAGAGCAGTTATGAATGTACGAGATTCATGGAAGATTGGAGTTTATAAGCAGTAAATTCGACCTTGTCTTGTCTACCGAACGCTTCTTTGTAGCCTAGAGGTAAGGCACGTCAGCGTATATGACGGTTCCGTATAGGATGCAGGTTCGAATCCTGTCAAAGAACGAATATTTTCTATGAAAATTTCTCGGACATTCAGGCCGGTAAATGTTATTTAATACTGTTTATCATAAACAGAGCATTTGCTTAAATACTTGTATCTATAAAATAACAACGTTAAACATAAAAAAAAATCTTTAATAAATATATATATATATATATATATATATATATATATATATATATATATATATATATTGGTAATCGTCGACTCACAAAAAAAGTATGACCATCACATACATGTCCAGCCCTTCAGTTAAATTTCTAATTTTCCAAAGATAAAACTGCATTCATCGATTGTGTGAACGACAGATCTGCAATGCTTGTCACATATGTGGCATATGAAATCATCTCCGGGTGTCTTTGATCATCACCACTTACTTCCAATGCGCCTTTTCATATGCCTTGTGTCAGGCCCGCCATGGACTTGTTTACGCTAGTGCAGGTCGGGCATTCAAAACATACCTTTATGAAATCGTCATATACAATCGACTGTTGGTGTTCGTGTGATTTCTGGTGACGGAAATTTAACACGCCCTGGACAGACAAAAAAAATATAAAAGGGTTTTATTGAAAGTGATGACGATCAGAGTCTCCTTCCACCATTCGGAGATTTAATATCCCTCATATGTAACAGGAAATGCAGATCAATGGGCCGATGAATGCAGTGTTGTGGGGATATATATATATATATATATATATATATATATATATATTTAAAGATATTTTTCTAAAACCAAATTTAATGATCAAAAAATAAATGTAAAATTTAATATTGCAATGATATCTTAAAATAAATATATAAAAAAAAAAAAATAAAAATTTCATATTAATGATATATATTTTGCTATGATTTCTCATCATTTTGGTCAAGGGAGATTCAAAATTAAAAAATAGTTCCTTCTAGTTCCTTCTTTATATATACAGGTATATATATGTACATATATGTATTTTTTTTTCCACCTATTCTAATTGTACTTTCTCTGTTTTAATTTTGAATTATTGGAAGATTGATGATAATCATTCAAAAATTGATTTTGTGGTTCGAACATTGTTGTTGAGTTTTTTTTTTTTTTTTTTTAACATTGTTTTTAATATGTTTTGTAATATTAAATTTTAAAAAAATTTTTTTTCGGATCATATATATATATATATATATATATATATATATATATATATATATATATATATATATATATATGTAAGCAAATATATGGATATAGATCCGACAATATGAAGAAAAATATACGGAAAAACAAACAAAAATCCTAATAATTTCTGAGGCAGGCATAATATCTATCTCACGCACGGTGATTACTAGACCTGGCTTCTTTAATATTTCCCCTTTTCTGGCAAGATTAATGCTCCACAAACGTACATATAAATTTTACATTAAAATAAAATTCTTTTCATTTTTCATTCAAAATACTCTATTTTAGGAATACGTTTTCACAACATCGCCCACGTGACGCCGACGTGATCATATTGAAACGGAACGCTGATCTTGAAAAATTTCAGTTGTCTGTTTTGATTAGTCTTACTCTTATGTCCATCGTCTTTTCATGTTGAATTGAATATAGTCTAATGTTAATTATGTTTTATGAATATGTCCTGAAGATGGTCTACTAGACCGAAACGTTCGACGTTGACATTATATTAACATTAAAACAGCATAATTGCATATTAGGATTCTTGTTTGTTTTTCCGTATATTTTTCTTCATATATATATATATATATATATATATATATATTATATATATATATTTATATATGATATATAATTTATATTGAATCTATGCCTAAAAAGCGTTTCAATAGTACCGATGTGTATTTTTCCCAGTTTGCCTTCAAATGTAACATTTGATATATATATTATATTTTCTGCTTAGCAGTTTATTTCATTCAGGGGACATATCATTGTTTTTTTTCAATATATAAAAATCGTTTCTTTTTTTATTTATTTATCTGTTCTGCTTAATACTCTTTTGTTATATACTTTAATTTTCTTTTTTTTTACTAATATTCGTCTAACACAAGAGAAAAAGACACGTATTTACTAAATCCCACCACGCCAGAAAAATCATCAACAGAATTCTAAAATTTAATAAAGGCCATATTTTTCGAAAACTCCTTCGATAAAATATATTAACAAAATAAATTAAAAAACATGAAAAAAATTCTAAAACGTGAGAAAAAAACTTAAGTTTAAAATTTATTGAAAAAAATTAGTATCCCGGTTTAATTTTTTTATTCCATCAGTTTTTCTTCCAGTTTTTAATCTATTTTAATAAACTTATCAATAGAATTTTGTTGTATGATTTATTAACAATTATAATCAGTTTCTATAAGAGGGCAAGTCCTATTAAATCTCTCACGTGAACAGAATCAAACACTCCCCGAGATACGTCAAAGTTCTCATCTCTTTCTTTTATATATATATATATATATATATATATATATACATATATGTATCCCATGTAATTTTCACCCACTGACATATACTTTTTTGCTGTATCACAGCTCTTCAGTGTGACTAGACGTCCGATTTATTCAGGCCGGGATCGAAAATATCATCGATTTGGCATCAGTCATAGATCCTGTCCATTATATATTCGTCATTTCCATTTGAATATCTAATAACAAAAGTGATGGAAACAAAAACAAAAAAAAAGAATCAAATTAAATCGACTAGAATATATATATATATATATATATATATATATATATATATATATATATATATATATATATATATATATATATATATATATATATTATATATTTTATGTGGTAAAAACATGCTGGTCCTTTTTCCGTAGTTTTTGACTGGTGGGAAATTCCTTTTTTAGGCAGTTTTTTGTCATAAAATTTCGATATCAAAAGGTAAAGCTAGAGCGTTAATAGGATTAATGCCTTTTTTTTCAATTAACTTTTTTACATTGATAGAGAAGACAACAGTCCTGAAATGCGAAAAAACTTCATTACTGCAATGTGCTGGCCGAACATCGAAGTTGGCATGTCTTAACCAACTCCACTCAGTTAAGTGATAATTTTCTTCATTTATATATATATATATATATATATATATATATATATATATATATATATATATGTGTTTGTGTGTGTGTGTGTACGAATATATAGAAAAATAGGAAAGAACTGGTTTTATAAATAATCCAAAGTTCTTTAGTATTTTTTTTTTATTATTTTTTCATAGTGCTCGATACAAAAGTAGAGCATAAATATAATTATTTTTTAAAATATATGATTCAACATTATATAATTTTTCATATTTTAAAACAAGAGCTGAAAACTTCAATATAATTATTTTGAATTAAAGTATGAGAATGTTCCATCTTGTATTTTTGAATTTTTTTGGAATTATAAAAAAAAATGTATGAATATTCTTGAAGATTTTGAACTTTTATTCATATTAATTAAATAATTATATTTAAAATTGATGCTCTTTGTTTTTTAATTTTATGTGACATTTAATTTAATTTGATTTAATTTTTTTAATAAATATAATTTATATATATATATATTTTATATATATATTATATTAATAAATTATTGTATAGATCTAAAACAAAGTTAAAAGATAAACATAGGAAACCAGGATTCCAATTCAAGCAAATTTTGTAAATAAAGAACTCCATATTAAAATAAAATAAAATTCAAAATATTTTTTTGCAATTAAAATAAAAAAAAAAAGATACAATTGCATTGAGTGTATTAGTGTTTTGTGTGTGTCAATTTTTGTTTATTTTATTTTTATTTCTGAATACAGTTATAGCAAATGGCTTTGTTCTTAGTTAATATTATTTTTTGATTTTAATGTTTTTTTTTTTATTATTTAAAATTCCATCACTTTTTAGTAATTTTTTTTTTTGCAGTTGGATGCAATTAATATATTTGTGTTTTCTACTAGTATGTTTTAGAATGATAATGGCTAAAAATAGCCAAAAGCGCTCTGAAATATAAAAATTTGGAAGTTCTTCATTTTTCCTTTTTTCCAGAAAAATCAGCTTTTTAGAACACAAGAAAAATTAAAAAAAAAAAAAAAAATTTAACCGTAGTTACTTGTCTGTCGTTTTAATGAAATGATGCATAAAAATAAAAATATTTTGCCTAAATATGCAACAATATATATATATATATATATATATATATATATATATATATATATATATATATATATATATGTATGGGAGTCATGTCCCCTTGAATTTTAATTTAGCATTTTCTGTCAGGGTCCCAATGGGTTTTAAATAATTAAAGATTTTTCTAAAAAATTTTTAAAACTCTCTGACATATAGATTTTTTTTTAATTACCAATCATAATACATTTTATGAAAAAATTTGTTGGCAACAAATAACCCATTGATGTTGATAAAATATAAAACAAAATAAACCAAACCAATCTGAAAAATAAAGAATACATATTAATCCATACGAATCTATCCCAAAAATGTTGTCGGCATTAAATAACCCATTGAGGTTGATATGCCGTTAAACAAAATAAACCAAACCAATCTAAACCAAAAATAATACATATTCTATTCATACGAATCTATCCTAAAAATGTCGGCATTAAATAACCCAAATTGATGATATGATATTAAAAAAAAATAAAAACCAAACCAATCTAAACCAAAGAATACATATTCTATTCATATCTAATCTATCCTAAAATGTCGGCATTAAATAACCCAATGAAATTGATATAAAAATAAAAAAAAATAAACCAAACCAATCTAAACCAAAAAATACATATTCTATTCATTCAAATCTATCCTAAAAATCTTGTCGGCATTAAATAACCCATTGAAGTTGATAAGCCGTAAAACAAAACAAACCAAACCAAACCAGGGTGACTCAGATTTTTAATTTAGTAAAAAGACGCATGCATTTATTTGAAAAAAGGTTGGTATGAATAATCTAGAAACTCTTCTTGATGCATCTCCTTAATGAATCAACTGTTGGCCATCGATGACTGCTTAAATAGGGATTTTGAAACAATGCTTATCAGATGACCGTTATTTCAACCCTTTCCATTGCGCTAGATATTTATATTTAAAGATTTTATTTTAGTGTTAACATTAAAGCCTTGATTCTTCTGCCCTCTCGACTTTTTCCCAACGGATTATGGCCTATTAAATAAAACGAAGCGATATTTTTGCGATGATGTGATCGTGAAGATTCAAATTCAGCCATTCTTGGGTCGTCTTGGCCTGATGAGATGATTTATCGGGAATCTTTCATTTTTTCTGATACGGTTTTTTTTTTTAATTATATATAAATCTACGGCCTCATAACCCAATGACAGAAGAATTCCTTATTGTTTTAAATATTATTGACCCTTTCGCCTTTAGGAAAGAAGTGAAGAGGCATGACATCTCCTTCGTTGCTAGCGATTTCAAGAGCCATCAAATTGCCATAAAAATGATATATATGACCGTTGGAACGTCCTTAGGGTCTCTAATAATTCTGTCATTCCTATGAAAGACCTTTTTATATTGATTGAAAGGATTTCAATAAAAAAAAATAAAATATCAGAATAAATTTTCCAAAAAACATTTGATAAAAAAAATTTCTAAAAAAATTTTTTATTTTTTTAATCCAACGATTTTTTTAATTTTATTGTTTTTAAAATATATTTATTTAAATAATATATTTTATTCTTTTTCAAAAATTAAACCATACATACACACAACAATTTTCAATATATATAATATATATATAATTATATATTTAATTATATGATTATATTTTATGGCTCCTATATATATTCTTTCTATTTTTTCTATTTTTTCTTTCTTTCATTCCTCTTTTTTTTTAACTAACGTATAATTAAATTGTTAAAAATTAAGGAATCATATTTTTTCCTTAAAAGATAATTATTAATAAATATTTTTTAAGATTTGTAAAACTGAGCATATGTTTTTCAATTCAACATAGAAATTCAAAATACTAATAATATATTGTTCATTTTTTTTTTTCTTTAAATATGATAATTTTTTAGAAATATAAATTTTTTTTAAAATATAAATAATATTTTTGAAACATTTATTACATTATACAATTTTATTTAAATACAAACACACACACACACATGAAAATTTATTATATATATATATATATATATATATATATATATATATATATATATATATATATATATATATATATATAT